CCCACCAGAACAACCCCCCCCCCCCCCCCCCCAAAACAGAACAGAAATAACCCTGCAGCCTTGCAGGGATTTAAAATAGGTTTTTAGACTCTCATGTCTTGTCACGTTGATGGCTGCACGTCTCCAGCCATGCTGCTGGAGATAGAAATCTTACATTTAAAAAGTTAGGAGAATATTGATTATCATTTCAACCTTAAAAGATAAAAGGCCAAAGGAAAAAAAAAAAAAAACCTTACAATAATTAATGTGATTGGATTAGAGAGAACGTAAAGGAGAACACTGGCCTGGCAGATAGAAATTGTCTTTGTGAAAAGGACACTGAATGTAAGGAGACGTTTCTTCATTCTTCCTGGACATCTGGTGGGCTCAGGCCCAGCATAGTCTTCCCATCATTCCCACCTGCATTCTTATCTCCACAGTTCTGTAACTAAATCTCTTCTACACTGAACTAATAGGTTTTTTGTATTCAGATTGCCCTGTTTTGACTCCTATAGATGGAAGATTTTTAAATCTTGTCAATACAATGAAGAAGTGAAATGTAAGCGAGTATTTGCTTACTGACCAGGTCTATGCTGAACCAAAAGCATTTGCTGAACTAGTCTGAATGGACCACTGCCAGCATGAACAGGCCAACTCATATTTTAACAGTGTGCAACTTTAACGGGGCAGAGCCCCAGGGATTTGGAGCTCCCCCAACTCCAAGAGATCACACACTCTAGACTGCATACGAGCAACATGCTACTGGCTGCATCTGCCAGCATCAGGACTCTAAAACACTCAGCAATACCAGCAATACTCAGCTTAAGAAAGGCTGAATGCTGCATAAAGGTATTTCTTGGACAGGTTTCGAGACAGCAGCTCAAATGCAGATTTACACCCAGATTACAGCAATTTGCTTCTTGCTACTGTGAACGGATGAAGCAAGCAGCTCTTCTCCGTAGTTGTATTTCCCCTCTAGGGCAGAGATTAGCAGAGAACTGCTTAAAACAAAGGTGTTTCCTACTGTTAGAACATCACACTGCAGTCAGAAATGAAGCTTCCTGCCAATTCCTAAACAGAGCCAGGGTATATTATACATTTATTTTCACTGCTGACATGAAGGAGCCTAAGACTACCCAAACCCTTTAGTGGGCGGAGAAGAGAAGAGGCACGAACATCGTAGATCTTGTCAAGCAGACCCAGGCACTAAAAATTCCTGCATATCTGCAGAGCACAGTTGATCTCAGGAACACAGCAGTGGCACAAAACAAATAAAGTCTCAGAAGCTGGTGAGCAGCATAGATGTTGGGGTCTTCTGCAGCCCTGCAACAACTGAGCAAGTTCAGCTCCAACTGTACCCTCATTACAAGTGGCAAAGGCAGCTCTGATGTCCCATGCTGATGTAATGACTCCTTGTTGCTGTAAAGCACCCACATATTCAGTGGAGTAGCTCAGCTCACACAGGAGGAGGGATACCCTTTACCCATCCACCAGTTAATGCCCCTTTGGTATGCAAAATTCCTCTGTTTCCCAGCTACCTTTGAGCCTTGATGCACAGAATTCTCCCTTTACAATGCAAGAATTTAGGACATGACTAAAGGATTGTTGCTACCTCTCAGCTAATCCTAGAGCGTTTGGCAGAGTCAACAACTCTATGAATTACATGGAGTGAGAAGATGCTTCTGGTCCTAAAAGCTTGGGACTTGTCCTTCAGGATGGTAGGCCAGAGTTGGCAGGGGGTTCACAGGGTGGCAGCTTCAGCTGGGCATTGCTCTGGGGGCAAAAGCACACAGCACTGTGGAGAAGAAAGAATGTCATGACCCTTTTCCAACTTTTCCCAACTGTCTTACTGCACCCTCCCAGTTGCAGCACAGCTTTAGGGCTCTGAGTCACCACAGGTACAAGCTGATAGCTGGGTTGTGAAACACAGCAATAGTGGAGCAAATGCATGGCCCTTCCAGCTGTCCCTGCAACTGGGGAGGGATCTCCAGGACAGGCATGAGGCAGGCAGCTGGGAGTGTTAAATCCACTAGTGATTGTGACTCAGACCCCTTAGTTACGGGGTTTGTTAGAGCAAACAAGGCCCCAGAGTACTGGGAGAAATGGGAGAGGGTTTGATAAAGATCCTCCCAAATGGCCTGCTTATTTTTATTTCTTGGGTGGACTCAGCAGACTTTTCTGCAGAGAGAAGCAGTCTGCACCAGAGTATCTGCGTACAGAGTACTGCTAATATCATGAACTTGTTGCAATAGTTAACACTGAGCTTCGTGCTGAGGGTTGCAGGAAGGACATGGGTAGTAACAGCCTCAGACCAAAATGTCATCTCTCTCACCACATGCCAAATACCAGTGAGCACAGAAACAAACTTTGCTCTCTCATTTTCTTCTACAAAACCCAATCTCATTCCCTTATCTCATGCATACCTGCAAATGCAGCAGCAGTTCTCCTTAACATAAATAAACAATGCCTTAAATACAGCACCTTTTGCACTTTATCCACCATTTTTTCTTTTTTTTTCCCCAAGAACTGACCAGGTACTCATCCCTGTACCTCCCGGAGAAATCTTTGTCTCTAAGCCCTGCTCCTGTGAAGCCTTTCAAGCAAACCACTGTTTACGAATCTGTCCAGGCTGTATCAAGACTGTACTGCCTGCCAAATGTCCCTCCAAATCAGATGCCTAACTGATCATCCTGAACTCTCCCTCATACGTTTGGTTCTTTGCAACCACCAAAAAGTATTCCTGCAATTCTGAGCCTGGCAAATGAGAGGATGCCAGAAAGCTGCTATTGTTTGTAAAAGAAGAAAGACTAACAGACTCAAAGTTTTGCAAACTATCTGCATTGCATCCTAATCTGTCCAAGCTGAAGATAACCAATGGAGAAAGCAGTGTTTACTCATTTTCAAAATTCTTCATTTCTTTGGCTGCCTCTCCTCAGCCACTGCTTCCCATTTTGACTGTTTTGTTCCTCAGTCTTCTTAACTTGAGAGTTCAGACTTTCTTTAAACTCAGCTCACAGGCTGCATATGCTTCCAAAATCCACCTCTTCCCAGCAAGGCTCCCATCCTGCCATCCTTATCCTGCAGCACTGCACAACTGTGGTGCAGGGCTGCAGAGATCTCACGCACATTTCGCCAGCCTTCTCTGTCAGGCAGTTTCTCAGCTTTGGGGATTACAGCCCTAGGCACCTTATGAAAGGCAGCCCAGCAAGGTCATGGGGTGCTGAAAACTTTGCTACGATCCAAAGTAAAGGATTCCCTACACACTATTCTTGTCAAAGTCAAGAATTTTCTGGCAGTCCTCAAAACACATAAATTATAGGCTCTTGTCCTGAATCAAGACTTAAAACATCTCTCCATTTAAAAAAAGTGGGAGGGGAGGAGCAAGGCAGAGAGGGAAGGTACTTTTGCCCTAGATTTGGTTTTGAAAAGGGGATTGGCAGCCTATGCATGTGCTTTACCCTGTAATCTGGAAGCTCCTCAGGACAGGACCCCTAGAAGCATTTTATACTAAACTATATACACACCCCACAGCAAAAGAACCAGCAGCTCCCCGCATCCGTTCCAGTCTGCTCAGCTTCTCCTAAATCAACACTGCCAGAAGGCAAGACAGCACTATAACAAATTAGCACCACTCTCAATTTGTTGAAGTTGCCGTTCCATTGTTTGTTTATTTAAAACACGCGTGTGCGCGCACACACACACACACACAAACCTCCCAAGTTTGCTCTCTGCTGCCATCACCCAAACTCCAGATTTGTAGTCTCAAAGAGAGAGGCAAGCAAAGATGGTGGATTAAACCCATGCAGAGCAACAGTTACTGCACTGGGACTCTGCCTGGGTTTTGTTGTTTCACTACAAGAAATAAAAGAATGCCCACACTGTTCCAGCCTGGAGAATCAAGGTGTCAAAATCCTCATTTTAGCACTTGACTAGAAAAGCATTGTTAAGAAAAAGAAAGAGCCACAGGCTTGAAAGAACTCAGCACTAATAAAACTCTTAGTTCTAATGCTATTTATGAACATCCAAGCAATAATTTGCACCCCTTATCAGCCCACAAGATTATAAGATCTTTAAAATAGGAAACGTCCTACTTCATAAAGCACTGTATAAGTTTA